CGCAGCCCCCGGCCGGGGGAGGGGAGCGGGGCGGCTCTGCCCGGCCCTGAGCCGCGCTCTGTAACCTTTGTGTTGTCTCTGCAAGGCCGTGGCATGGCGGGCCGGGGAAGAGGCGGCTTTGGTGGCCGCGGCAGAGGCAGAGGACGAGGCAGAGGATCGGCACGGCCGGCGCTGACCAAGGAACAGCTGGACAACCAGTTAGACGCTTACATGTCGAAAACGAAAGGACACCTCGACGCCGAGCTGGATGCTTACATGGCTCAGACAGACCCCGAAACGAACGACTGAAGGGTGTTTGCAGAGACTTGGTGTGGATGGTGGTGTGCGTCCCGTAGCCACGAGCTAAAACAAGGAAACCCTGATTCAGCTGAAAGGACCCACGGGAATAGGGAGCAGCCCTGTTCCGCCGCAGATCAGACTTCAGTACGTTTTCCTTTCCTGTTTTGATACTCTGTATGTTGTGTGAAACCTTTTGGGATGATTTTTATCTATTATTCCCCCCCCTTCCCCCTAAAACTGCTCCAAAGGCAAATCTGACAGCCCTGCTGCAGTTCCTGCTACGGGGCCGTGAGTCTGCCTGCATGCGGGGCTCCGCAGCAGCATTTTGGGATGGGAAACGCGTCCCCCCATCTCCCCCCCTTCTGTTCAACCCATCGAGCCTTGCAGAACGCGGAGCCCGAAGCTCCGCTGCTCAACGCCGTTCCTTACGGTGAAACCAACGCTCGCTCCTCCCATGCCGCCGCTGCTGGGAGGTGAAGGAGGGGTTCTGCTCCCCATCGCCACCTTTTCGGTCCTGTTGTGTGAACTCCCGGTTTCGCTGGAATCCCGTCTTTCTGGTTTGTTGTAACAAAGGAGAAATTACAAAAGCAGCGCGGGCTCCGGGTGCTTTTATTTTTTATACCTGCGGTGAATCCCGTCGGCTTCCTGCTGTCACAGCTCGCTTTGGTGGGGGCGTTAAATACATCTCGTTTGCTCCGCACTCCCTGAAGCAGCGGAGGAGCCGCTATGGGAGGAGCTGAACCGTGGGGACGGGGCTCCGAACCGCCCGCACCGCGTGGCCGGACCGGGGCTGGGGGGGGGGGGGGGGGGCAGGGGGCGGCGCTCGGCTCTTCCCGGGCGGTGCTCGGCTCTTCCCGGGAGCTGCCCCGCCTTTCTATGTAAGCGCGACCGCTATTGGCCGACGGGGCGGTGGCCGCCCGTCACGCCGCCTCCCATTGGCTGCGTCCCTGCAGCGCTTCACGCGTTCGGCTCGCCCTTTTGTTATGGGGCGGGCGGCGATGCGGGGTCCGGGCTGAGCGCGGCGTGCGGCGGAGGTGAGTGCAGAGCCCGGCCCTCCCTCGGTATCCCCACCATCATTCCCCACTACGGAGACCCGCAGCGGCCCCGCGGCCTCGCCCTGCCCGGCCACAGCGCGGAGCTGCCGGGCACCGAAGCACCGCGACGATCCGCGGCTGTGGGGACGGAGCTGTGCCCCATTCCGGGATATCCATTGCTATGGGGACAGCGCTGTGTCCCAATCCAGGACACCCCTATTACTATGGGGACACTGCTGTGCTCCCCATGGGACACCCCATTGCTGTGGGGACATTGCTGTGGGGACAGTGCTGTGTTCCATTCCACGACAGCCTGTTGGTATGGGGACATTGCTGTGCCCCACTTTGGGACACCCCATTGCTATGGGGTCAGCACTGTGCCCCTCTTTGGAGCACCCCATTTCTATGGGGTCAGCGCTGTGCCCCTCTTTGGAGCACCCCACTGCTATGGGGACACTGCTGTGTGTCCTGCTCCAGGACACCCCTCTGCTATGGGGTCAGTGCTATGGGGACAGAGCTATGTCCCATTCCAGGACACCTCATTGCTTTGGGGACATTGCTGGGCCCCGTTCTGGGACATCCATTGCTATGGGGTCAGCGCTGTGCCCCTCTTTGGGTCACCCCATGGCTGTGGGCACAGCACAGCTCCCGCTCCTCCTCTGCCCCCAAAATCCCTCCTGGCTCGTGGAACACGGCAAGCACCGAGCTGGAAGGAGAGGACTTGGAGAGGGCTCAGAGCTCAACCCAACCGCAGGGACCCCCCCCCCAGCATCCCCCTGCCCCACTCCATCTGTCCCCCTGGGAGCAGGGAGCCCGGCCAGCAGCATCAACTCCAACACTGGGAGGAGGGGGGAAAAAGGGGGGGGAGATGAAAGGGGGGGGGGGAGGGCCGTGGCATCTCGCCCACGCCGGGGGCTGAGCCAACAACTCTGCCAGAACGGACGGACGGACAGACAGACAGACAGGCAGACGGCCGTGGGTCAACGCAGCGAGCGGGGCGAAGGGTTTTGTTGTGTCTGCGGTCAGCTCAAGGATTTTCCCAGGCCCCAAAGCGCTCACAGCCACCCCCCGGGGCAGAAGGGGGAGGAGGATGAGGGAGGAAAGATGCTGGGGGGCTCCGCAGACGCAACGTGCGCGCGGCTCTTGGCGTGAGCGCGCCGACAGCAGGCAGCGAGGGGTTAAAGAGCGGCGCCAGCAGCCCGGGCTCTGTTTAGTCTGGGCCACGAGCTGGAGACGGGGCTGAGCAGCAACCAGCGCGGCCGGCACCCCGGGGTGAAAGCTCCCATCAGCAGCCCCCCCCCCCCGGCGCAACCCTGCGCCCACCTTTGGGCTGCGCTGCCGTCAGGCTGGGGATGCCCCGAACGTCCCGCGTTTCGTCGCCGTCACCCCGTTCATCTTCTCTTCCCGTCCTGGGCACGGATCGCGGGAGCCACGCGGCCGGGCTGCTTCGAGGTGACGCATGGCTCTGTCCCACGTCCTCGCCGTTTTGCCGTCCCAGGTGGCCGTCGCGTCGCCGGTGCCAAACGGGGTCCACGTCCCCCTCCGGCCGCTTCCGGACCCTGTGCACGAGCAGCCGCTCCGTGCACGATGCTGAGCTCAGCCCGGCGTCGCGGCTGCAGCCTTGCAGGCGTGGGGAGGGGGGCCGGAGGGTCCCCTGCAGCGGGGTGACGGGCAGGGCCGTGCCGTGCCGTGCCTTGCAGGGGAGCAGCGCCATGTCCCTGGGCGCGCCCAGCAGCAGCGACGCCTGTCTGAGCATCGTGCACAGCCTGATGTGCCACCGGCAGGGCGGGGAGAACGAGAGCTTCGCCAAGAGGGCCATCGAAAGCCTGGTCAAGAAGCTGAAGGAGAAGAAGGACGAGCTCGATTCGCTCATCGCTGCCATCACCACCAACGGCGCCCACCCCAGCAAGTGCGTCACCATCCAGCGCACCTTGGACGGGAGGCTCCAGGTAAACCCCCCCTCTCCCCCCCCCCATTTCCCTCCCCCCAATCCCTGCACGCCCCCTCGAGGAGCCGAGGAGACCCGGGTGACCCCCCCAGACCCCCGCTCACCTCCTTGGGCTTTGGGGGGGGATTTGGGCGCCCTTGTGCCCTTTGAAGCATCCCCGGAGCGGTTGAGGAGGCTGAGCCCTGCCGTGCCCCATAAAACCCCCCAGGGCACCGCAGCCCTGCCAGAGCTTTGGCTGCCCTGCCGTCCCCTCACCCCCCCCTCCTCCCCATCCCCCTCCCCATAGAAACCATCCCCCGGTCTGGATGGACCTCTTAGTATTTCATAACCCCGTAAAAGTCCCCAACTTTTGGGGGACTCAAAGCAAGCCATCCCCAAGACGAGGAGACCCGTAGCCCCCCGTCCCCGTCCCCCCCCAAGACCCCCAGAGCCCTCCTCAAGCTGGGCGATCCCACATCATGGGGGCAAGGGGAGACCCACAGAAGCCCCCCCGCATCGGTGGGGCGCTCAGACTGCCTCCAGCCTGCGGCTCCGAGCCCAACGCTGCTCCGACTTCAGTGTCTGCACTCACAGCCCCCAACCGTGACTTGGGGAGGGGGGCACAGGAGCAGGCAGCGCTCGGCATCACGGCGCGGGGGTCTGCGTTGCAAAGCCCCCACGCCGGCAGCGCAGCCCCCCTTGTTGGATGAGTCACTGTCTGGCAGCCTGCAGCCAAAGGGGGGGCTGTGAAGGGGGGCTGTGAGGGGGGGGGAGTTGTTATGTCTGCAGCGAACGCGGCTCCGGGGAGGCGCAGGGGGAGCCCCCCGGGGTCCCAGCCTGGCGCCAGCCTTGAACTGCATGGATGCTGGGGGGGGGGACGGGGACGGAGGGGGATGGAGGGGGGGTCCAGCACCCTACGCCTGTGTTGGCAGCACCATCGGTGGGGCTGGATGGAGCGTTGGCACAGCGTGACGCCGCGTCCCCATGCTATCACTCCATGTTCTGTGTGTGTTTGTGGCCCCCCCCCCCCCCCTCCTTTAGGTGGCCGGCAGGAAGGGCTTCCCCCACGTCATCTACGCCCGGCTCTGGCGTTGGCCCGACCTGCACAAAAACGAATTGAAACACTCCAAGTTTTGCCAATTCGCCTTCGACCTCAAATACGACAGCGTCTGCGTCAACCCTTACCACTACGAGCGCGTGGTGGCCCCGGCCATCGGTGAGCCGGCCCACCTCCGGCCCCCCCCCGCCCCCCCCCCCCCCCTTACACCCCCCCCCCCAAATCCAATAACGCCCCCATCTCATCTCACCAGGTCTGAGCATCCCTACCGCAGGTGAGACCCGGGCGCCGGAGCGTATCGGAGCCAACGGCCCCCCCCCCCGTGCGCCCCCCGGGGGCCCCAGGGGGGTCCCCGTGCCCCCCAATGGTCTCCGGTGTCCCCCCCGCCCAGTGCCCCCCGCCCGCCTGGTGAAGGAGGAGTTTGTCCATGACTGTGTGCAGATGGAGGCACCTCATGGGGCCAAGCGGGCGCCGTGCCCCCCCACCGAACCCTTCCGCCCGCCGCGGCCCCCCCCAGCAGCTCCCCGAACCCCCCCACGTCCCTGGGAGCCTCTACCCCACGCTGCCCGTTTCACCCCCAGGTGAGAACCACGCATCAGAACCACGC